CAGGCCCACCCCAACTGAACACTGGGCTCACCTCAATATGGAATGAGTGTACTGGACCCAGGTAAGGGCCTGGGAGCCAGAGAGTTGGGGAGAGAGGCTCCAACTTCTGTTGCTGGTTCTAACCTGGGCCCTGATAGTGAAACCTATTCTCACTGTGGTCTTGGCATCCTCCTCTGTAAAATGGATACAAGCCTCCCATACATCTCCCTCCCAACCTCCCTGCTCCCTCTCTCTGAAAAGAGCCCCTCCAGGCTTAAGGATAAACTACCAGAACCTCTGGGCTCTGAGACAAAAGGGGCCCATTCCTGGAATTGCCCATCCCTGGGGAATTGATGGAGAGGGGTGGGGCGTCCTCTGTCCCCAGACTGTCAGGTGGTGGGGGCAGCCTGAGCAACAGCAGGCTGACGGCATGGTCCCCCCCTCCTTCCCCCTATCTCTGCCGGCAGCCACCGCAGCTGTCAGGAATTAAGGGCTTGAGGCTGCTGGGGGTGGGGATGGGACAGTGGGGGGAGCAGTCTGGCTGGACAGCAGGAAAACAGCCAGGGGCAGGAAGCAGTCTGCGTCAGCCAGAGCCTTGTTTGACCCTAACCGCCCCCTGCCCTCCCCATTCTCCCCCACCACGTTGCAGAGACAGGGATAGTTTGGGATTAGAATTTGGAAAGGGTATGGGGAGGGGCAGAGCAGGATCAGACTCAACACAGGAAGGAGCACGAGCCCAGGGTAGGAGAGGGCATCAGCAGGGACAAGCCAGGCTGGGGAGCCATGCTTCCACTGGCCATTGGGGAAACTAAGGCCCAGAAAGGATTAGGAATATGCCCCCTGTGATAAGGAAAGGGGTTCATAATTCAGGTTGCAGACCTCTTTACTCCCTATCTAGTGCTCACACTAGCATTTCCCACACTTGGTGCATCATATGTATCCCCTGGAGGAGGCCATTGTGGGAAATGCTGATTCTGGGCCCTGTGCAGCTGAATCAGCATTTCCAGGGGCAAGGCCCAGAGGTCTGCATTTCTAACCAATGTTCCAACTGATTTTCCTGAGGACCACATTTGGGAAATGCTACTGACCTGGTTGAGTGTCTGTTATTGTTTTTTTTCCCCCTTTGGCCTCTATCTGATGAGGGATGGTGACTTTGCTCCCCTACCCTCCATTGTTCATGAAATACAGAGGTGTAAGGGAAAGGGAGAAGACCCTTTCTTTGAAAATTCCAGGAAGCAAATAATTCTTAAGCCTCACTGGCACTCAGGCATGGTACTGGCCTGATGTCACGAGGGTCCAGAAGTGCCTGTCCAGGGTACTTCTTCTCAGCAGAGGGAGGTGAGGGCATATGTAGGCACATGGCCCTGGCTTGTGTGAAGATGAAGCCCAGCCCCATAGGACCTAGGCCATGGGCAAGTCCCTATCAGCAGCCCCCAGGCCCCGCCCTGGCCCTGCCCTGGGCTCTGGCCCTCAGCCCAGCCCCAGCCCCCGCAGTCGCTGCCCGAGACCACAATTACAGGGGCCACTGGGGGTGGGGGAGCACCAGGGATGAAAGGCAGAGCAGAGAATGGTTCCAGCTGTGGCAGATCCCTCCATAGGAGGTTGCAGGGAAGGGAGAGTTAGGGAGGCACCAGGGTGAGAACAGGTGGGACCCTCATCGCCTCAGCTGAACCCAGTCCTGTCCTGATGTTCTACCGGAGGAGCTTGTCTTCATGAAGAAGAGAAGGAAGAAACCCCAGACTGATAAGGGAGCTCCTTGTCCTATTGTCCAGGCCTCAGGGACCACGGCCCCTCAGCAAGGTAAGGGGAAAGAGCTGATGCTTCAGTTTCCCAAACTCCTATGTTTGGTCATTGAAGGGAAAGGGAAATGCTTCCTGAGCCCTTAGCCTCAGGCTGATCCTGGGCCTTCCTCCCAGCCTCGCCTCCCACCCATCTGCCTGTGTTCCGGCTGTTCCTGATGTGGTCACGCACACATCTGGAGCGCCTCTGTGTTCTCCCCTCATCTCCCCAGTTCCACATGTGCCCCACCACTCAGCCAGTGGGGGACCTTGATGGTTCAGGCTGTGCCTGGGGCTGAGTAGCTGGGAGAGCAACGGGGGTAGTGGTGATGGGGCACTTCTGAGCTCTTCTTCTAGCCCCCTTCCTAGGCAGCAGTGCAAGGGCACAGAGCCATCTTTGAGCTTGAAGAGGACCAGGATAATTGTCAATATGTTGCCTCCCTGGCCATGACTCTCATCCTTCACAGAGGGCAGTTCCCAGACTCCTGCTGGACTTGGTCACAGGAGATGGACACTAACACGCGAGTGCCAGTTTAAAAATGGCAAGCACTCTTCTTACAGCATGCTATCAGGCATCCTCATTTCATAAAGGGGAAACTGAGGCTCAGAGAGGTTAACTGACTTGACCAAGGTCAAGCTAGCAAACTAGACCTTTTTTCATGGTATCGTGCTACTTAACCTGCTTGGGGTGGTGTCACTTTCTACCCCTGCCTCAGTTTCCCTCTCTAGCATCATGGAGGGATAGACCCGGCATCAACACACCCCATATCACCGCCATCATTCCCTGAACCTGGCAACAAAGACTGAGAGGCAGGCATCCAAGCCCTAAATCTGGGTCAGCCCAAAGGTCTCAGACAGTCTGGAACCCTAGCAGCTTGACCCAAGCTGTCCGTTGGTCTCCTTGCTTCCTTTGGTCCTGCCCACAACTTTCTGAGTTTCCCAGATGTCCTGCAGGTCCTATCTGTGTGCTCTATTTATAGGGAAGCTGGGCTCTGTGTGCCCTCTAGTGGCCTCTGAGAGAAGTGCAGGAGACTTTTCAAAAAGTACTGGGCTAGAAAGACCTGGGGAAGGCAGAGTTGTGAATAAAAACTCTATCCTTACAATGCTTCATTTTTCCTACATGTGGTCCACAATGCTGGTTCCACTCTCCCCCCTTGGTAAGCTATCCAGGCTGCCTTGGTTCAAGAGACTCTGCGTCCAAATTCTCCATGACACTTCCCTGAAGCCCGGGTATTGACTTAAGGGAGCCACAAGGAAGAAAGAAGGGGAAAGAAAAATGACCCCTTCCTTCTCACTGAAGCCTGATACCTCCTCTTCATACAGGTTTCAGTCTGGGGACCTAATGTGATCTTTGAGGGCAGAAGCAGACTACGTCATACAGGTGGATGTGGGGCCATTGTCAGGGGAGGGCAGATGCATGAAAGCCATGGTTAGAATCTGTCACATCCAGGATGAGTTCCCCTTCTGTTTCATTTGAACAACTCTGCTCTCCTCCCTGTGCCCCCATTCCCTGTGGTCCTGGAGGGGCTGCCAATCCCAGTCATAGTGGTACATCTGCCTGGACACTGTTATTGGTTTGGGGATAAATAAGTAGCCCCAGCTGACCCAATCCCAGCCTCCTTAGGATTAGGACTTCTACTGGGAAGGCCATTCATTTTTGGATCACCAGAACTAAGAATGTAGGCATAGGGTTGCCATATAGAGAAAGTCTCTCTGCAGCAGGAAAGAATAAGGACAGTATGAAAAGAGAGACCAAGAGAAGCAGAAACAATAGACATGGGGGAGGGGAGTTTAGGGAAGGAGATGTGGGGGGGGGGGAGAAAGGGAGAGAGAGATCAGTGATATCAATCATTTGGGCCTCTGGGTTCAGCTGTGCCTGAATTCAGACTTACCCCTGGACTTCCCAGGTATAAGATCCATTAATTAAGTCCCTTTGGCCTACACTAGTTTGAGTTGGGTATCTTCATTTGCAATCAGGGCCTGCCTGATGCCTGTAAAACATCAGCTTTCTATTCCCTTTCTCACAGCAACTACCATTTATTAAACACAAATTTGACATAAATTGTTGTGTCCAATGCTGTGCTAAGTGCTTTGCATATCTCAAAAAAATCTTCCCCACAGTTCTTTGAGGATATGGGATACAATTATGATAGCTGTAAGTTCTTTGCCACTGCCCCATTGAGAGGTGAAGTCTGTTTCCCCTTCCCTTGAATTTTGGCTGGTTCTGTGACTTCTGTTGACCAAAAGGGAGTGACAGTGATGCTGGCTAATTTCCGAGGCTGGGCCTTAAGAAGAGACTTTCAGCTTCTGCCTTCAAGTTTGGCAGAGTCTATTTTGAAAGCCAGCCTTATGTAAGAAGTCGGACTATAATGAGACCACCACGTGGTAAGGAAGCCCATACTAGTCACATGGAGAGACGGAGGCTGCTGGAGAAGCTCTGGGGGCAATAGACATATACAAGTGAAGTCTCCTGAACTGTCCAGCCCAGCCAAACCACCAGCAGAATCAGCCAAGTGAATGACCACATCTGATGGTTCTGGTCTTTATGGTAGAACCACCCAGCTGAGTCCTGACAAGTTCCTGACCTAAAGGATCATGGACAGTAATTACTTTGGGGTTGTTTATTATGCAGCAATAGATAACTAAAACAGGATGATATTCCATTGCATTGGTAAAGAAACCAAAGTTAACATGGTCTATATTGTAAACTTCTAAGCAGCAGCACCAGTTTCCAGCATAGAGTGCCTGAATCTGATAGAACTAGCATCTCAGGGGTTCTCACCCTGAGTCCCTATTTTCCCCCCTACCAGACTGGGCCCTCCTGGCAATGGTGGTGAAAAGTGCCAAATCTCTCCCTTGGCATTCTTGTTCACTCTAGCACACTTCAAGGGCCTGAATCTGGGAATAACTAGGATCCCTCTGGTACCTCTCAGAAAGCTGATGGTGAGGGTCAAGAGACAGAGAAAGGGCTTGGGGTTCTGGGTTCTCCAGAACTAAGCCTCAGACTGCCATCTTCCCCCAGAGAGAATAGGAGACGGTACAGCCAAATGGCTGGGATTCAGAGCCCCCGTTTTCCCACAGTCTAGATACTGCAGTGGAGGATGATTCTCCCAACAAGGTATGCGGGCCAGGCATGCCTACTTGGTTCTATCAAAACCATCTCCCTTTACATACTCCTTCCAGACCCTGTCCCCATGGCAGCCTACAGGAGGCCAGCCCCCTCCCAAACTGTGGGCCCAGTTCTATTGGCTTAAATATCTTTATTGATACTACACTCACCCACCCACCCACCCCATGGCCAGCAGTTCTGAGGAGCCCCACATCCAGAGGCCTAGAAACTGGCTCTTTGGTTTCCACTAGGGGGCCGAGGAGAGAGGTCTGTATAGTCTCCCCAAGAACCCCCCAGAGCGCCTCTCGGGAGGCCCCTCCGGTGCCCTGGGCCTTCGTGAGCCGGCGTATATCTCAAGATCCCTCTGCCTCACAGTTTCCAGAGGTCTGGGAGATGGACTTTCTCATGGGGTAGCTGGGCCAAGGCGACGCCCCCTGCTGGAGGCCAGAGGTCCCGCAGGTGCCGAAAGAAGGCTCTGCGCGCAGTTTTGGGGAGCCGGGCGGCGGGTCAGAGGCAGAGGCTGAGTTCCTTGCGCACGCGGCAGCGGTGGCACTGCACTACGCAGCACCAGTGGAAGCGGCACAGGCAGTTCTCCTCGAGCTGCACGCTCTCCTGGCGGTGCCCGCGGCCGCAGCAGAGCAGGTCGCAGCCGCTGAGGTCCGGGGCGCTGCTGTTGCAGGCGCGGCCGCGCGTGCCGGGAGAACCTGTGCGCCTGTTGGGGGCGCAGAAGTCGGGCGAGTCGGCGGCGTAGAGTAGGTCAGCGCGACCCGGCGGTTTGAGCGTGCGGACGGCGGGCAGCAGAGCCTTGCCGTCGTTGGTACCCATGACCCGAGAGGCGCCGTGGAAGCGCTCGAGCAGCCGCGCGCCCACCTCACGGAACGGGGGCAGCTTCTGCCAGCAGGTGCGCAACGCGCATGAGCCGGACAGGCCGTGGCACTTGCACTCGGTCCGCGTGTGGCTCCGCACCGCCTGTCGGGGAGCAGAGGAGCGGCCGGATAGGGACAGATCCTGGAGGCCAGACGCGGCAAGCTCAGACGACCGACAGAAAATAAGATGCGAAGGGTGGTGGATGGAAGAGAGAAAAGAGCAGACCAAAAAACAAACAAACAAAAAACGCAGAGCGCAAGGTAGGGAGGAAGAAATCAAGAAACCGAAAGCCCAGAGAGGAGAAGGAAGAATAAGGATGGGGGAGTAGGAGAAGTGGGGAGCAGGGGACATTATGCAGCACATAGAGAGTCTAGGATCCAAAGCCAGGGAGTCTGGGAGAAAGGAGAATGGCCAGCAGGGGTGAGATTCTCCCCAGAAGGGGGAGGGAGGTGGCAGCTGTCGCACCCTATTCCTCCTGCCAAGCCAGCCCCCTCATTCCTGATCCTCAGGGCCCCAGGCAGAGCAGGCCGCCTGGTCTCTGTCTCCACCACCCCTCCCCAGTCCTCTCCGACAGGTATGTGGGCCTGTCCAGACATTCCTCTCTGGGATCCCCTTACCCCCCTGCCCAGTGCCTCAAGCCCCAACACTAGAGGACATAGGATGTGTGTAGGGTGACCCTAGCACACCCTAGAACTGAGGTATAGGGTGCAGGAGAGCCCACTGTGAAATGCACTATTGAGAACTGGAACCCAGGAGTCGGGCCCTTTATTTCCTATTTGTTTCTGGAGCTGGGGTCTAAGACTCACAACCCCACTAGAGATTTATGGGGTCAGATGCCCCAGGAAGATCGTTTCTGGAAGCTCAGAGTCCAGGGGCCAATCTGATCTACAGAGTTGTATGCCTCCCTCCCCCTCCCAGGCCCCTTCTCTTTCCCTCTACCCACTTCTGGAAACATCTGATCCAGACTGTTTCTTGTTCCTAAACAGGAGTTCCTGGAGCCCTCCTCATCATAGAGGGAAGGGAGAGGCTGCCAGGGTTCTGAACAAGGACTGGTGTGGGGTTGCTGGGCAGCCAGTAGACAAGTGCCCAGATTCAGTACTGGCCTCTGCCTGACTTCCTCGACCATCAGGATCTATTCCTTGTCCACTCCTTTTCAAGCCCATTGCCCCTTGGGCCCGTTCTAGTCCATTTCCAGGCCTCCCTCGCTTTTCCCAGCTCCCCTACCTCCAGACCCAATACCTTTACCCCGCTTCTATCTTTTTTTCCTTCCCCGCCTTTGTCTTCCTCCTCTGTCCCTGCCCCAGCAGCCAGCTCTCTACCACCCAAAGATTTGCCCCATTTGTCCTGTCTCAGAGGTCTGTCCTCCATACCTGGGGTCACTAAAAGTCCTGAGTCCTCCTCCTTGGGTGTCCCTTCTCTACTCTGCCCCCTGGGCCATCAGCCCAAGGCCCTCCCAGGCCCCCCAGGTGACTCCTAGGCTGGCCACCTCACCTCCCACATGCCCATTCACACTCCCAGCCAACCTTCCCAAGTGGCTCCTCACAGCCATGCTGGCTCCCCACCACACAGTGACTATCTGACACTACAAACCCTCACTTGCACCCTCACATCCCCACACCCTTTTCAAACCCACTCACACTCTCACATTTACACACACACACACACATACACACACACACACTTATACATCCCTGCCCAGACTCACCAGTCGGCCTGCCTCGTTGTTGTGAAGTTGCACCAAGGCACGGATGTCTCCCCGACCCCGCTTGTGCTGCGCGTCCATAAAGAGCCTTGACTTCTCGTCCCCGAAGTCCACGTCGTCGCCACAGCCTCCCCACTCCCAGGCGGCGCTGCCGTCGGGGAGCCCGCT